ATAGCACGGGTACGGGGGGGTCGGCAGACCTCCGTGCCCTTGGGCAACATGGCAGCGGCGGGAAGAAACACTTCAAGGCAAGAAGAGCAAGCACTGTATGAGACGGTCCCGTTCGAGTGAGAGGAGCAGAAAGAAGAGGTCAGGGATCAGGAGGATTGGACAGGGGGGGAGGAGGAGCAGAGGAGAAGAATCAGGGAGAGGGAGGAGCGGGGAGAAGAGATGGAGGATAATGATAATGGAAGAAGGAGGCGGAGGAGGAGGAGGCGGTAGAGGCAGAGGCGAGGAGGAGGGATCAGGAAGGAGAGGAGGAGGAGGAGAAGAACGAGGGTGGCGCGTGCGGTCCCAGCGCGCCGCAGGACACCAGCCAGGCAAGCGGAGAGCGGCCCTTCGGGGCCACGGCAGCGGTAAGAGGCCGACCGGCGCCGGTCCTCGCGAAGGCGAAGGAGCCGGGGATCAGGGAGGTGACACAGAAAGCAGCGGCTTCCAGCCCTGGCTGCAACTAAGGCAACTCCTGGGAGTTTTTCGCAAGAACATATAAAATCTATATTGGGCTCGCTTGAGGGCCATGAAGCCGAATTGGCCTAGAGTGAGCCTGGCACTAAGCCGGATTAAACTGGACTCAGCGGGATTAGGCGGAAGTGAGCGGGGCTATGGCGGATTAGGCCAGCTTTCGACCACGAGTACACGTAACAGCGCCGATGCTGAACTTCAGATCCCAGGAGTTGCATACACATCACTGGTGGTGTGCGCAAGGTAGTGGCGAAGGGGGGGCCTTCTAGAAGGGCGGTGGTGGGCTTCTTGGAAGGCGCTGACCTTATCGGAGGCGCCTGGATGCTTCTGATCGGATTTCTTAGATGCCAAGCTTCTAAAAACCCACCTGCCTTATGAGAAGCCCCCCGCGCTGGTCGTTCGATATAATTACACCAGAGAACAACCCAAATCAGTGGATGGTTTTCGCTGAGGAGATCGACTGGGAACCCGGGAGCCCGGGAACCCCAAACCCACCGAAATCGGCCCGGAACCAATAGAACCCGGGAACCCGGAACCCGGAACCCGGGAACCCAGCCTGCTGCCAAAATCGGCGGGAAACTCTCGCCAAATCTTCCAGCTTCTGCCAGGAACCCTTCAGTGCGAGCACTGCTTGGGGAACTTCCGCCAGGACCCCTTCAGTGCGAGCACGGATCGGGGGAGCGTCGTGGTGCCATCCAGGGGGCAGAACATCAGGCACGAGAGGGGCGTGTCCGGGCACGGCGAGCCTCGGCCGCGAGCAGGGCTGCTCGCCCCCAGACCCAAGAGGAGGGCGGACCAGAGCCCTCAGCAGCCCCAAAGTGCGCCGCACGTCGGGCTCTGGGCTGCAGCGGCCGACTGTGGGAAGCTGGGTCGTCGCCGGGCCGACTGGAAGAAGGACAAGCGGCCGCGAGCAGGGCTGCTCGACCCCAGATTCGAGAAAAGGGCCCGAGGACCAAAGCCCCCAGCAGCCCAAAGTTTGGAGGCCTGGAAACGGGCACCAACACCAACACAGCGGGGTGCCTGCACAGGGGGGAGATGATCCCAGATTTCGGTGTTGGTGGTAATACTTCGGCCACCTTGGAAGCCAGAAATTTACCACCATCACCGAGATCGGAATATTCTTCCCTCGATGGAGGCACACCGCCGATATTGGTGTTGGTGTCAACCTCCACGCCTGCGAAAAGTGTTCATTACGTCAGGATCTGGACTGTAGCGGCCGATTTGGGGAAACTGGGTCGTCGCCGGGCCGACTAGAAGAAGAACAAACAGCATAAACATAAGCCCTCGGAAGTTCGCATGGAGCACTCACAATTTATGGTTATGCCATGTTCTCCTGTGAGCTCAACCTTGAAACCGCGCTGGGGCCGCCCCAGCGTCGACACGCGACACGAAGCCTGCCGCACGGAGGGCACTGCTCGCAGCGGGGGGGGGCGCCTCCTCGCAACGGTCGTGCAGGAACGGGCGCTCCTCGGGAAGAGGCTCGGAGGCAGCGGCGGCCGCGGCTAGAGGCGAGCCCCTGTAGGAGGACGCCAGCTATACACCTGCACCGATTTTGGCAAGTTTTGGCCAGGCCCAGCCTGGCCGACGATCCTCATAGCGTGCGTCAGCGCCAACGCGTGCTTACCCACAAGAGCCTTCAACACGATGCAGGCGGCGCAATGAGGTACGAGAGAGGCTGCGCGCTGCTGGCGGAGCTGAGCGGGGTAGGCACAGATTGGGCTAACACACGCCCTTAAGATCATCGACCTGGCTCCAATATTCCTTCATCTCCTCCTCCTCCTCCTCCTCCTCCTCCTCCAGCATCTCTTCCCATACAAACACATCCTCCCTGTCGCATCCCCAGACGTGTCGGTAGGGTGGGCTGGGCGTTCCGCCAGAGACTTCCTCAGCGTCTATGATCCTGAAGCTTGACATGTGCAACATATTCAAGGAGGGAGGGCGGTTGCCTTAAACCCGAGCACATTCGCTTTAAACATCGAAGCTTCTTCAAGAATGGAGGGCGACCCATGTTCAGAATGTGGTGTTCGCCTGAGCACCGCGCACATTCGTCTTAAAAATTTGCAAAATCTTCCAATATGAATGGCGGCCCATTTTCTAAATATGGTTCTCGCGTTAGCACTGTGCACATTCGTCTCTAAAGTTGCAGTAGTCTGACACATGCGCAGCGGCTCACTTGCATTGCTTGGTCTGGCCGTCGCGCCGCGCAGATTCGTCTCAGAAGTTGGCGACTGCTCAAGGATTCGTACTATGGTCGAAGTCCCAAGAGTGGCTTTTTGGTACGATTTAGGATTGCAAGGGCGCAGCAATGACGTTGATTCGCGGCGTTGGAATCCTAGGACTGGTGTCCTGGTACGATGAAGGATTGTCACAACGCAACATTGGCGTTGATCCACGGCAACGAGGCCCCAGGAACAGCGTCCGGCACGACGGAAGATGCCCAAACGGTTGTCTTCCCATGGGACACTTCCCGCCATGGGAACGAATTCTTGATGGGACCTATGAAGAGGGAACCTCGAGGGAGGGTGTCTTACAACAACTTTGATGCACCTTGAATTTGCACTGGTCCTCCTCCTCCTCCTCTTCCTTCTCCTCCTCCTCCTCCTCCCTGGCACGTCGCCCCTGTGGCTGGGTCCCTCCTCCTCCTCCTCCTCTTCCTCCTCCTCTTCTTCCTCCTCCTCCTCTCGGTGCCTCCGTTGGCCGCGGAGGTCCCTCCCATGCGGTTGGACGCGGGGCGTCGGGGGGGAAGGAGCTGGGATGCCCCCCCCCGCCTGGGGTCTTTGGCTTTGTCCCAATTGGCGTTCCCCATCTGCCTCGGGGTCCCTGGCTCTGTCCCAACTGGCGTCCCTCTCCCTCCTGTAACAACCCCGTCGGCAGCGGGAGCGGGCGCGAGCAGAGGCGCGGCCCTCAGCCGCGCTTTGCTGAGGCAGGCGGGGTACTGCGTCGGGACGGCCGGCTCTCCTCTACCGCGGGGGATGCATTGTTTTTGCTCCCCGCCACCGCCCCCCGGCTGTCTGAGCGCCCTTGTCCTGATCGGGGGCGGCAGGGAGCATTTCCGCGGGCGGGGTCTTAACTGTTCAAAGCCATCCGTCCGCACCCCCGCCTGGAGCGCCCTTGCTCTGTTTCGGGGGCGGCAGGGAGCACATGCAACGTTGGCGTGTCGGTGGCGCATGGATTTCTCGGGGGTGCCACTGGTTTTGCCAGGTGCTGGTTCCTCAAGTGTCTGGCCGCGGGAGGCCGCGCCAAGCACGGTGCTGGAAGAGTTCCCTCACACCGTTGTTCATGATCTGCGCCCACGTTCCTCCCGAGCCCACGCCAACATATTTTGCCGCCGAATTCCGCGGCACACATCAGCATCAGCATCAGCATCAACATCAGCATCGTTATCACCGCCATCATCATCATCATCATCATCATCATCATCATCATCATCATCATCATCATCATCATCATCATCATCATCATCATCATCATCTGCATCTGCATCTGCATCATCATCACCATCATCATCATCATCATCATCATCACAAGCAGCAACATCATCATCAGCAGCAGCATCATCACCATCACCATCACCGTCAGCATCATCATCACCATCATCATCAGAATCGACATCATCGTCATCACCGTCATCATCATCAACATCAGCATCAACCGCAACAGCATCATCATCATCACCACCATCGTCATCATCATCATCATCATCATCACCAACACCACCACCATCATCACCATCACCATCATTATCCTCATCCTCATCCTCATCATCACCAACACCATCAGCATCACCATCATCGGCATCATAATCATCAGCATCATCACCATCGTCATCATCATCAGCATCATCAAAACCATCAAAATCAGCATCATCGTCATCATAATCAGCAGCAGCATCGGCATCATCATTATCAGCATCATCATCATGTTCATCAGCATCAATTTATTGAATATGCGCAAACTTGTCTTGATAACAAAAAACATTGCTGGAGCGTCATCGAGGCAAACAGTAGCACAACAAAACAGTTTGGGCAAGGCCTGCGAAACAAAAACCTTGGTGCGAAGTGATGCGGAGAGAACCGGGGGAAGCGCAGCCAGCCCACTATCTGGAATAGAGTAGTTAGGCGTGCCAGCAGGTCGATAAGGGCGGCGAATTCATCCCCCTGTCTGGGGGGGGAGGAGGAGGAGCCCGCGAGATTAGCGGGCTACCGTCGCCCACGCAGTCGTGGCGTCGGCGAAGACCAGGTGTTCTTGCTCCAGCGCGAGCGCCAGCAAGCAGGCGTGTACCATCGCCGCAGCCCGCCGCGAGATGGCCACGCCGATGGCCGACCCGATCTGGCGCAACAGCGCCCGGTGGCAGCGCAGCACGCGGCGCCGCGCAGCCCGCAGCGCCAGCGTCATCCAAGTCCTCCTCCTCCTCCTCCTCCTCTTCCTCCTTCTCCTCCTCTTCCTCCTCCACCACCACCACCGCCCACCCACCGCGGCCGAGACGAGGCAGCGGCTCCTTGCAGATCCGGCCCACGAAACGCGTCACCACCTCGCGCCCGGGGCAGCCAGGGTCTGCCGCGGCAGGCAGTTTGCCACCGCGCCCGCTGTCCCCAGGGAATCCTCACACCTTTTTCCGACGTGGAGAAATCACGACGGGAAGTTGTTCGCCGTGTTCTGCTTCCCAGGGCACTCAGCGGGCTCATGAGCCATCCCAAGACGGCCGGGGACGAAAGTCCGGCCCTGGGAAATGAATCCAGACCTCTGGGGGTCGACGTTGTGAAAGAACCACGACGACGGAGATCTGGGTCCGGTGATCGACCGTCGGACTGGTTGGAGCGAAGTTTGCGATCATCCGCACTTTCTTCCCTGGGTCACCTAACTTCGCGTCCTCGTGCTGCCCCCCTCGAGAGGATCGCCTCTGGCAGGGGCCGCAACGCGACGCGCGAAGCGAGATTAGCTTCGCGCCCCTGGGGTGACCTGGCCTCGAGTACTCGATGGTTCGGGCCCTTCGTCAGGTGGTCGCGGAGCTCCTTGGGCATCTGAAGCGGCAGGGCCGTTTTTCACCGTTTCCGAAAAAGTGCCCCTTGAAAATGGAAGCGGTAAAATCATCCTGGCGAAAGACCCAACCATGTGCAATTGTACGTACCGCAGTTGTGGGTATCGTCCTCGGTGAACCTCTCTCTGGAGCCACGACGCGTGTGACGGGTGTTCCTACACCTTACGGGCCACCGAGCGTGCGAGGGGTGCGCCGACATGGGAGTGGAACTGCATGCGGACCCTGCCACTAGCGCCTTCTGTGAATCAGACTATGGTCAAGAAACGTGTGAAGGGTGCGCCGAAATCGGATTGGAACTGCATGCGGACCCTGCCACTGGGGCCTTGGGTGGGTGGCACTGCATGCGGACCCTACCACTGGGGCCTTCGGCGGAGCACCCTGTGCGGCCACGAAGCGTGCGAGGGGTGCGCCGAAAGTGGGGGTGGAACTGCATGCGGACCCTGCCACTGGGGCCTTCGGTGGAGGACCCTGTGGGGCCACGAAGCGTGCGAGGGGTGCGCCGAAATGGTGGTGGAACTGCATGCGGGCCATGCCACTGGGGCCTTCGGTGGCGAACCCTATGCGGCCACGAGAAGTGTAAGGAGTGCCCCGAAATGAGGGATGAACTGCATGCGGACCCTGCCACTGGGGCCTTGGGTGGGGCACCCTAGGGGGCCACGAAACGTGCGAGGCCCTACCGCTGGGGCGTTCGGCGGAGCACCCTATGCGGCCACGAAGCGTGCGAGGGGTGCGCCGAAATTGGAGGTGGAACTGCATGCGGACCTTGCCACTGGCGCCTTCGGTGGAGGATCCTGTGGGGCCACGAAACGTGCGAGGGGTGCGCCGAAATGAGGCGGGAGCGCATCCAGACCCTGCCACTGGGGCCTTCGGCGGAGCACCCTACGTGGCCACGAAACGTGCGAGGGGTGCGCCGAAATGGAGGTGGAACTGCGTGTGGACCCTGCCACTGGGGCCTTCGGTGGAGCTCCCTATGGGGCCACGAAACGTGCGAGGGGTGCGCCGAAATTGGGGGTGGCACTGCATGCGGACCCTACCACTGTGGCCTTCGGCGGAGCACCCTATGCGGCCACGAAGCGCGAGAGGAGTCCACCGAAATGGAGGTGGAACTGCATTCGGACCCTGCCATTGGGGCCTCCAGTGGAGCACACGAAACGAAGCGTGTGAGGGGTGCGCCAAAATGGAGGCAGCTCGAGGAGGGAGGACGGAGGGAAAAAAGGCGGGAGGAGTGCGTGACGCGGGGAACCGGGACAAAAATCGTCGCCGAAACTGGCAACGAAAACGGCCCTATCGTTTCCAGGACCCACAAAGTTGGGGAACGAGGATGCCGTCGCACGGTGCACTCTGCCACCTGCTTGCTGCCTCTCACGTGCCATACCTGTACAGAACTCGTGCAAAAGCACAAGCCCAAGCACTACCTACCATTACCTGGGCAGCCAGGTCTGGGGGCACCGCATGAGAAAAAGACTTGATTTGACGCCCCACGCGAGAAGAATGGATGGCTCTTGTCGCAAATCCGCCGATCCGGCGTGTGAGTTTCTGAGAGCGTGGGCTTGAGCTCGCTCAAGCTTCGCTCTGCCGAGGGGGGGGGCCTCATTTCCAACCTATTTCCGACCTAATTCAGTGCTTCGCCCCACCCCCCCCTCCAGAGCGGACCCCCCCCCCCCCTGCAGGGCCCCCCCCCCTCCTGCAGCCCAGCCCCCCCCCCCCCCTGCAGAGCGGACCCCCCCCCCCTGCAGCTCCCCCTCAGAGCGGACCCCCCCCCCTCCCCTGCACCCCCCCCCCCTGCAGAGCTGAGCAGACCCCCCCCCTGCCGAGCGAACCTCCCCCCTGCAGCCCCCCCTCCCCTGCAGAGCGCGCCCCCCCCGCCTCCCCTGCACCCCCCCCCTGCAGAGCAGACCCCCCTCCTGCACCCCTTCCCCCTGCAGAGGGACCCCCCCCCCCCTGCAGAGCGGACCCCCCCCCCCTGCAGCCCAGCCCCCCCCCCTGCAGAGCGGACCCCCCCTCGTGCAGCTCCGCCCCCCTGCAGAGCGGACCCACCCCCCTCCCCTGCACCCCCCCCCCTGCAGAGGAGACCCCCCCTCCTGCAGCCCCCCCCTGCAGAGCGGACCCCCCCTCTCCCCTGCAGTCCCTCCCTCTGCCGAGCGGACCCCCCCCCTGCAGAGCAGACCCCCCCCCTGCAACCCAGCTCCCCCCCCGTCGTCGTCGTCGTCGTCGTCGTCGTCGTCGTCGTCGTCGTCGTCGTCGTCGTCGTCGTCGTCGTCGTCATCGTCGTCGTCGTCGTCGTCGTCGCTCGCGTCGTCGTCGTCATCGCCGTCGTCGTCGTCGTCGTCGTGGTCGTTGTCGTCGTCGCTCTCGTCGTCGTCGTCGTCGTCGACGTATTCGTTTTCGTCGTCGTTTTCGTCTTCCTCGTCGTCGTTCATTTCCACAGGCACCCGGAGCGCCCCGGATCGGCGGCACTGGCTGGAGGCCACTACAATACCTCTTCAGCACTGAGCTCCATTTGCTCTCAGTGCTGCTGCGATGGCAAAAGAAACAAGCGACATATTAGAGACATGCGATGTTTCAATGAGGTAACATATAATCCCGTTCCGTCGAGATCGCTTCCCCGTGACGCCCCCCCCCCAAAAAAAACAAATTGAGGCGCTCGCCTTCTGCAGATCCTTGTTTATCAACCAACTCTGTGTTGAGGAACCGCGCATGGTTGAAAGCGACTCCCGTGTCCTTGTACCTGGCGAATGCTGTCGTCAAGCACCCGAAGACGAGTGTCGGGGGGGTCCAAGAGGGGAGCATCCAAGAGGGGTGCTCGCAGATCATGGCCCGAGGCATGCGGGCGGATGAGGGGGGGACCAGGGAAGGCGCTGAAAGAACATGATCCTGGTGAAGGGCCCAACCATATGCAGTTGTGGGTACCGCATAATGACTACAGCTTTCAGTGGAGCTCCCTATGGCGCCACGAAGCGTGTGAGGGGTGCGCCGAAATGAGGCGGGAGCGCCCTGCGAACCCTACCATTGGGGCCTTCTGCGGTGCTCCCTATGGGGCCACGAAGCGTGTGAGGGGTGTGCCGACATGTGACGGGGCCGCCATGCGAACCCTGCCATTGGGGCCTTCGGTGGAGCTCCCTATGTGGCACCGAAACGCGTGATGGGGTGTACCCAAGTGGGCACGAGGAGAGCAGCGGCAGGGATAGGAGGAGGGGAGGGAGGCGGGAGGAAGGAGGCGGGAGAACGCGAGGCGCTGCCTCTGAAAACGAGGACCCAACACCACAGGATGGTTGGAAAAAATGGGGCCACTAAATCTAGAAAGACTTCATGGCCCTGGCCGCGATATACCCGCCCCTTGGCTGCCCCCGAAATTGAGCCGAGCGCGGCGGCCCTGAAGAGGCGAGGCGGTCAGCTTTTGGGGGCCAGTCTTGCGCGCCTCCGGCGGACCTTGTCGCGGGCCCTCATCATCATCGGCAACCCAAGCTGTGTCAGCACCACCGTAGGCATCATCATCATCATCATCATCATCATCATCATCATCATCATCATCATCAGCAGCAGCAGCAGCAGCAACAGCATCGTCATCATCATCATCATCATCATCATCATCATCATCATCATCATCACCATCAGCATCAGCATCATCATCAGCAACAGCAGCATCATCATCAGCAGAATCAGCAGAATCCGCATCAGCATCAGCATCATCAGCAGCATCAGCATCATAGTCATTCTCACCATCAGCATCATCATGAGCATCAACATCGGCATCATCATCAACATCATCAACAATAGCAGCATCATCAGCATCTTCATCAACATCATCATAATCAACAGTATCACCAACATCCTCATCATCATCATCACCACCATCATCATCATCGTCATCATCACCAGCATCATCATTGGCCGCATTGTCATCATGCTCGTTGTCCTCCTCATCATCCTGTTGCGCATGCATCGTCCTCTTCCTCCACTTCCGCTTCTCCAAATAATACTCGTGCTCCTTCTCATCCAAGCCCGCCGCATCCTCATGTTCGTGATTCCCCTCCTCCTCATAAATATCACCATCAGCAGCATCATCATCATCATCAGCAGCATCAGCATCATCATCAACAACAGTATCATCACCATCAGCTTCATCATCCGAATCACCATCACCTTCCATCATCCGACCGATGTTCAAGCGGCTGTGTCTCATCCTATAGCGTACCCTCTTATGTATCATCATTCTCGCTCCTTCCTCCCACTCCCCTCCTCCTCGTCCTCCTCCTCTTCACCATCCTATTCCTCCTCCTCCTCCTCCTCCTCCTCCTCCTCCCCTCCTCCTCCCTCCTCCTCCCTCCTCCTCCTCCTCCTCTCTCCTCCTCTCCTCCTCCTCCCTCCTCCTCCTCCTCCTCCTCCCTCCTCCTCCTCCTCCTCCTCCTCCTCCTCCTCCTCCTCCTCCTCCTCCTCTCCCCTCCTCCTCCTCCTCACCCTCCTCCCCTCCTCCTCCTCCTCCTCCCCCTCCTCTTCCCCCTCCTCTTCCCTCCACCTTCTCAAATGGCGGCCTGGTCTGTACCTAAGGGCACCCCTAGGAACACGGGTGGCCATGGGCCACCCGCTGAGCACCCACAGGAAGGAACGCGAGGACGATGCAGGGCAGCGTGACGAGCCCCCATCCCTCGCCTCTCCTCTTCCGCCTCTTGGGCGCGCTCCTTGGACACCCTGGGGTGAAGGTCAACGACAGGGGGGACTGGCTCGGGGGGGGGGAACATCGAACTTCAATCGGCGACACATCACCGTCAGATCGGCAACAAACCCCTGATAGCGAATCCGCGCGTTCATGGGCGGGTTGACGCTATCCGGTCCCTATCGGCGATGAATGTGCGATTGGGGGTCGATGCGTCCCCCCCCCCTGAGCCCAACCCACTCCGCCTGACATTGCCCCTGACGGGGCCCGCCTGGGCCTTGTTGTGGTCCGGGGCGACTATGACGGCGAATATCCCAGGGGAGAGCAATACATGACGATTGGGGCGAATAGCCTAGGGGAGAGCAATACATGTATCCAAGGGCGCCGATGGCCCATGCCTTCGGCAAGGCTCCCAGGCGATTGCGTGTAATGCCCGCCCCTAGGCGCTATTCGCTCCCATCGTCACCCCCGACGTGGGGACCTCGACGACGACGCCGCCCGCCAGCGACGGGCGCCGCCTCCTTGCTCTGCACGGCGCTCAGCGCCTCCTGCTCCTTCCTGAGGTGCATGACGGTAAGGCGGAACCTCTCCCGGAGGGGGACGCCACCGACGCCGCCGCCGTTGTCGGCCACCCGAGGGGGAGGAGGAGGAGGAGGAGGAGGAGGAGGAGGAGGAGGAGGAGGAGGAGGAGGAGGAAGAGGAGGAGGAGGAGTAGGAGGAGGAGGAGGAGGAGGAGGACCAGCGCATCTGACTGAGGAACGTTAGCCTATCTATTGATGTAACCCCTGCTGCGCACTCTGCGCTTCCCTGATGAAACTGTCCAGGGTTGTGGGGTGTGCAAAACAAGGCCTGCTCTTCATCCCTCCCTTAGGGTGGCGGCAGGGTTTAAGGCAATTAAAGGCCGCAATCTTGTTGCTGGGGAGGTATCTATGGCATTCGCTCTTGAACGCCTTGGGAAAGAATTCACTGTAAGCGCCACACGCCCAGCATGCCAAAACACAACTCTCATTGCCGAGGCGATCAAAAACACAGATGTCGTGACGAGTGCGGTTCGCTACAAGGTTCGACAGGGCCTTGCAGTGACCCTCACATCGCTGGGCTTCCTTGAAAACACGAGCGGCCTCTGAGCGGGCTCTGACTCTACAAATCTCGCACATCCAGAGGCTTTCGTCTATCTGGGTCCACTGGTGGCCGCCTACTTGTTGCTGGTCGCCCCGAGGGGGGTCGCAAGCCTCAGACCGAGGGCCCACGGGGGGATCGGAGGTCGGAGGCAGGGGAGGGGCGATGTAGGCGGCACCCACCAGTGGCCTCTGCACAGGCTCGAAACTGGGCCCATTCAAAGCTCGGCTGCCAAGCTTGGGGGCGATGGCCGGCCAGGTCTGGAGGCCCTTCGCCAAAAAAAACGCAAAACAAAAAATACAGAAGGAATGCTTGGCTCTGATTGCAAGCCTGGACCTCGGCCTCTGACGGCACTCCCGCGTTGCTGGCCGCGGCTTTGGCCACCCTGTCAGCTGTGTCGTTTCCCTGGCCAGGAACTGTTCCCAGGATCCAACAGGGAAGGATTCCCGATCTTGGTGGGCTGTTGCTTTACAAACTCTCGGAAGGGTCCCTTTACGATGTTTGCTCTGTGCTAGCAGCTCCAACCCAGTATACATACCTTTCCTATCTAAACGCTCTTTGCCATACTCTCGGGTGGCGCCTACATGGTCATAAAGAATGACAGTGAGGCCCGGGCACAAGTGAGCGGCGGCCATCGCGCCATCGCAACATGCTCGGCAGCAGGGGAGGTTGGCGGCAGCAAAGCTCCCGTCTGTCCCGAGAGGTGCGCCTTGCAGTCCCCATTCTCATCTAGCACAGCGACGGCCCACCTTGGCTGGTGCCAATGCTTGGCGCCCTGGTTAAACAGGACCCGTCAACAAAACCTTCCCCCGTCATGGCCACGGCCATGGGGTCACCGTTTCGGGGCCAAAACTCCTAGGAAAAAACCAAACTCCTCGGGCCCGTGGACCACGGCGGGAGGGCAAAACTGGAAACCATGGGCTAGGGGAGCTGCTAGGGGGGAGCCCTTCCAAGTATGATTCGTCTTGGGGCGTCAGAAGCTCACTTTTGAGGTTGGAGATCAGGGGCCCTCGAACCTGTGGCTCATGTCGTCTCGCTCGTGCCCGCAGGCGCAAGTCGCGTCGATTTCGTAGACTGCTGCTGCCAATCTAGTTTTGGTCCACATACACTGAGTTAGGTAGGACATCCATCAAGCTGCATTTCTCACACTGGGTAAGGTCGGCCTCCATTAAGACATGTTCTGCAGCTGCGAAGTCTAACCTATGGTTGGCCTGTCCCATCTTGGCTGCGGCTCTCTTCTCGAGGCCTGCCATCCAAGCCTCCTCAAGGTGATACTTCAGCAGCGCGGGGGGGATAACATTGAGCTGGATCGTCTGACCCTCGGAGGTCACCATCTCGAAAGGATTCTTGAGGGCCCAGTTGATCCGCTGGAGGCTCAGAATGGTGGCTCCTATGGGCCCTCGACACGAAGTCCATTTCTTGGGCGGGTTTCTCAAGATGTAGTTGACTTTACTCTGGAATTCCGCGTGGGTCATTCCTATCCAATTCGACCGGGTACATATCCTCCAAACTGGAAGCCCGCAATGAATAGCCGGCACCAAGGCGGCCTTCCAAGACGGGTCTCCCAAGAGGCAGAGGCTCAGCACTCGAGATCTCGTTCGGCTTCGGGGCCCCACGGTACTCAGGTAGAAAGTTTGGCTCTGGGTGACTTCCGAGTTGGTGAGGCCGACAACTTCGGTTCCACAATGATTTGCCCGGTCCAGGCCCGTTCTGCACAGCTCCTGCACGTCTGCGCTCGCCTGCTTGAGCGCCATCAAGCGGCGCTTGCGCATGCGGAGCGTGGCGAAGCGCGAGTGTAGCGTGGATATTCCCCTTCCCGCCCTTGTCCTTCCTCCTGCCGTGTAATCTATACCTAGGTTGGTAGCCGAGTCCACTCGCTTGTCTGTCTGGGGTCATGCGAGGTTCCCGAGAGAGCGAACGAGCTTGCTCCGAACGAGGCTGGTCGATGCCAGGACGGCCGACTTGCGCGTGGCGATCTTACACCCCAGGTCGATTTCGATTGATCTTTCATAGCGAAGGCGGCGGAGGAGAGGTCTGCGACTTTCCGGCCTCTCATCTTGGGACTGGAGGAGGAGGTCATCCATGAACATGAGGAGGTCTACATTCGGATTGTCTTGGACACAGACATCGAGCGGGACAAGGCTAAACATCTGGACGACGAACGCAGCGAAGCTGCATCCCGCTGGCATTCCAAGCCGCGGGCTTCCAACAAAAATGGCGAGACCTTGGCTCGCTACAAGCCCAGGCCCCCCATGCGGGTTGAAAATGAGGGCTGCGACGGCAGGGTTGAAATCCGCACCCGCTGCTCTGGCATACCATGTGTCCCTGTTTCTGTGTTCACGATAATTGAAAGAGCGGGGGGGGAATCTTCCACAGTTAAGCGGCGGTGGATCACGCTCTCTCCATTGAAAGAGGGTGTTCTACCGCTGCTGGCGGACAACCGGGGGGAGGCACTAGGGGTTCCCAACCCGCCCCCCCCCATCGAAAACCAAGGGGGGGCCACTACCGGTTCGAACCCCTCCCCCCCAGTCCACCATGAAAAAAGAGGGGGGTCACTGCCGCCCTCACCCCCTCGAAAACCAGGGGGGGCCACTGCCAGTTCGAACCCCCCCCCGAAAAACGGAGAGGGGTCGCTACAGATTCGAACCCCCCCCGTCTCCCCCTCGCCGCCAGCAAACGATTCTCGCTCCCCGAGACAGCTGGACAATGACGGGGATGCTGGGACAGTGGCGGGAATGGTGGTGGCGGGGACAGTGGCGCGGGGACAGTGGGACAGCGGCGCGGACAGTGGTGGGGACGGCGGCGGCGGGGACAGCGGTGAGGGGACAGCGGGACAGCGGTGGGGACAGTGGGACAGTGGCGGGGACGGTAGTGGTGGGGACAGCGGTGAAGGCGGTGGTGGGGACAGTGGTGGGACAGTAGTACAGAGGGGAAATGGCGGGGACAGTGGGGACAGTGGGACAGCGATGAGGACAGTGGGGACGGTGGGACAGTACAGTGCGACAGCGGCGGGGACGGTGGGGCAGTGGTGGGTACAGTGGGGACAGTGGGACAGCGGTGGGGACCGTGGGGAAAGCGGGGAGAGTGGAACCGTGGTGGGACAATGGTGGAGAGTGGGGACAGTGAGGCACTGGTGGGGGCACTGGTGGGGACAGCGGGGACAATGGTGGGAACAGTGGGACGACAGGTGGTGGGAACAGTGGGACAGCTCAGTGGGACAGCGGCGGGGACACTGGGACAGTGGGACAATGGGGACAGTGGGGCATTGGTTGGGGCCGTGGAAAAACTGGGAAGAGTGGAGCCACGGTGGGAACGGTGGTGGGGACAGTGGGGACAGTGCGACAGTGGTGGGGGCACTGGTGGGGCAGTGGGGACGGTGGTGGGAACAGCGGGGACAGTGGTGGTGAGGACAATGGTGCTGGGGACACCCGTGGGAGATGTGGTGCGGACGGTGGCAAGGAACCGGGAGTCGTTTGCTGGCGGCGAGCATGGGGGGGGGGGGGGGGTTCGAACCAGAAGCGACCCCCCCCCGGTTTTCGGGGAGGGGGCGGGGGGGTTCGAACCGGTAGCGACCCCCCACGGCTATCGAGGGGGCGGGGGTCGAACCGGCAGCGCCCCCCCCCCCCCGGTTTTCGAAGGGGGGGGGCCTCGAACTGGTAGTGACCCCCCCCCCGCTTTTCTGGAGAAGGGGGGGGGGCGTTCGAACCGGCAGCGACCTCCCTCTGGTTTTCTGGTGAAGGGGGGGGAGGGGTTCGAACTGGCAGTGCCCCCCCCCCCAGTTCTCCAGAAGGGGGGAGGGGGGTTCGAACCGGTAGCGGCCCCTCCCAATTTTCCAGAGGGGGGGGGGGGGAAGTGCCGACTGGAAGGGGGGGGGGGAGCCCCAAGGGGGGGGGGGGGGGGGGGGGATTTTCGGAAGCGGGGAGGGGGGGCGGGCTCCGGAGGAACGGGGGAATTTTCCACAATTAAGCGGCGGTGCATCACGCGCTCTCTAATAATTCGATCGGCCCCAAAGCGCGGCAGCGGTCATGCGCAGGGCGCCTTCGCTGGGCCGCTTCAGCTTGGAACGCTGAAAAATATGCGGTCTCCAAGATCCCTCGGCCCGATGGATGGGCCAGATGAGGCCTTCTGTTCGCTTGCTCCCAACGTCTGGCAACTGGTCGGGGCCCAGGTTCAAATAGCGGTCATCAAACTTATTATACTGTACGCGGGGTTGTTGGTGTCCTCCTGCTGCTTATGTTTGGGGATCAGGGCGGCGACCGTTGCGCGCGCCTGGGTCGGGAAAGCCCCGACAAACTCGCACGCCGCGAGGAAACGAACGATAAGCTCAAGCTCGAGCTGCTCCAACAGCGCGAAGTGCCTCGGGTGAAAGCCGTCGCAGGTCGAAGCGGTGTCGTGGCTGAAATTCTGGGAGGCCTCCCGAATGTGGCCAACAGTGATGGGTCCGAGCTCCGCGAGAGCCTCTGGGG